TGAGAGAGAAAAAAAAAAGAACTTATGATATGAATCAGAGCCATTAAATTACTTCTAGCAAACTACTACTATCCAACAGAAAGATCACATTGACTAGACTAATGAGCAAGACATTTACTTTTACATCTTCTTTAAGGGATAAGGACTTGAGGAGGAAGAAAAATTAAAACAAGTTTTCAGCTACTCTGCAAGTTCAAAAATAAGGTGACTTCTTAAAAAAAACCCTTAGATTTCCCAAGTATCAGTCAGTACTGTGCCCTATCTTCCCACTGACACAAAACATCGATGCTGCTCAGTTGACACAGTTTCTCTGTGAGATAACATGGACTCGTGGAATGTATACTATATGTACGTGTAATTGCGTCTCCGTCATTCAGAGGGCAGTGGCACTGTGCCGTACCACACACGGCCAACACAGCATATTCACAGGGACTTTGATGTTAAACCTGTCGTGCACAAAAGCTCGGCTAGTCTGCAAATGACACGTCCAACTGGGCAGTCTTTCAGTGTGCCTGCACTGCCCTTTAAGGACTGGCCACAGGTCACACGCAGAACCAGAACCGTGGTTCCAGCCTGACCCCGCGACCCCAGGAAGAGCCAGAGGGGCACCTGGGCACACCTGAGGTGCAGACCCGTAGGGTCTCTGCACGGCTGGTGCCAGTCGGCTGAGTGTTGTACTCAGACCAGTCTCCTGACACTGATTATTAAAGAATTACCACGTTGGGCGTTGTTTCTTGCATTTACGATACCCATACTGGCACAGAAGTATCAATATGCGTATGAATTTCATCTCTGCACCAGATGAAACCAAATGAAAAAACCCTGCAGTTAGACTGCACTGAATTTCTACACCAAAAGTAGGTGGTTTTACCATTTTCTGGAATTCTAGCACCTCTGAGTGCCTCATTAAACTACCTTCCTCAAAAATTTTTAATACCACAAGCTTCTGAGCAGATTTTAAGATAAACAGTATTTTAAAATCAATATCCCCAAACTGCCTGCTAGAAAAGTGTGCCCTTAGAGCCCTATTTTAAATAATGCTCACTTGAGGCTGAAAATAAATTTATTTCCCCCCAACCTGTGACAAACGTAAGATACTGGCCAACGTCAATGTTAGTTCTTTAGCTAAAACCAAACCCCCTAATTTTTTCAAAGGGAAGATTTGCCCCCATCAGCAACAAGACTGAATCAAAATGCATTTCCGATGCTACCTTATACAAATTTATGGTAACTAAACAGACGTGCTGGGGATGCAAAATGGGGATGCAAAGAAACCCCATTCTTTAAAAGGGCACCTACTCTAAAAAGCTCTCTGAAATCTTAAATACACCTGTAAAACAGACTATGGTGAGAACGTGATGGCGTAAGGGAACACTATGGTAGAAACGGGGTGTAAAGACTGAATTCCACTTTTGTACAATTCACTTAAAGCTTTACTACCTCTGCCTAATGCTGGCACTCCACATTTTGAATGTCATACTTAAAGCCTTCCAATTTGCTGCAGTTAAGCAACTGTAGCTAAAGTATAGCATGTGTAGCAATGGCTTTTACACGCACACAAATCGAAACACCATCTGAAACTATTTTTAGCAACTTAGAACGGTCCAACATTTTCATAAGACCTTTGCAGTTAAAAATTCTAAGGCTCGTCGCTATCAAAATTTGGGTCATGTTCTTTAGAATTCAGATAAAAAAGGGTAAGGCTTTACTAACAAGGGAATAGGGGAACAATTACATTTTCCATGATTATGTGAATGTTGGAAGACAAAGTTTATACCTCTCAGTCTTGGTGGTGTTTATATTGTATCCTAGAAAATAGCACCAAATCTAAATTAATGGAAATGTAACCTCTGGTGGTTAAATATGCCCTAGCAAAACTGGAAGAGAAATTTAAATAGCTAGATACTGGATAGTAGTTAATTAAGAGTTATTATCCTCTAAGTTATTTAACATGTAGAAGTCCCCCAAAGGCCTGTATCTAGTAACAAGACACTTTTGCTTCTTCACTTTTGTTTCTTTTTTGACTGGGACATCACCCACACAGAGAAACTTCAGCTTCCTAACGGTCACAGGGACCTGAGAGGACTGATGGAAGAATCGCAGCAGAGGGATCTCTCTTCCACGTGTCAGTAACACCCAGCAAAGCCACAAAAGGTTACACCCACAAGCAAACTCTCCCCAAGCACTGCAGTTCTCCAAAAATCAATATGCCCGAGGCTTGCCTTTGGGCAGAATAGAACTGTATGAAAAATAACTGACTTAACACTAATACGAAAGTAGTTCTTCATTCTAAAGCAGCCTACTTTGAGGTTGGCCAAGCCCCCTCAATCTGTTTAGAGGAGAGAGAGACAAATGATTCTGAACTTGAAGGAAACCCTCCAGTAGAAGGCCCATGCAAGATGATATAACCTTGATGCTACTGGAACAGATTATTTCAAAAGCTTCTCAGTTCCTTCCTTGCTTCACATGACGCCTCTCAAGGATGAGGTTATCCTGCAATCTTTTTCTGTTTATGTACAGGTATGTTAAACAGGGAGGAACAGCAGCTCGCCAGTCTGAAGCACCTTTCTGTAAACTGAAAGAAGTATACCTGCCTTGCCAGGAACTGTAAATAACAGACCAGAAAGGTTTTGCTTGCAGCCAATTGCGAAATCTCACGTCCATAAACCAAAAGCAAACCTCTGTGCATGCACTCAGTTTTGGTTTTGTTTGTTGTTGATTGGGTTTTTTTTTAAGGGAGGACCATGTGGCTTTAGAAATAATAACATTCAAGTTCAGCAATCATTCTTCTCTACTTCCACGAAAAGGATAAAGAAGCATAGAAGTATTGAAACTTCACAGTAAATGTCTTTCCTGTACTTGATCAATGGACAAATAAAATATGAGTTTCAGATTGCAAGGTTTAATGGAAATTACTGTAAGGAAAGGTAACTAGCGTTTCTACTAGCTACAAATATTAAGACAATGAAATGAGCTTACTTACTGATGCCTATGTATCCAAAGACAGAGAAAAATGAAAATTATGAGACAAGGCAGATTTAAAACTAAAGAGCTTAGTTCCATTTCATTTGCTATAAACACCAAATTAAGAAAACAAGACACAAGGCAGCACTGCAAATGAAAGATGACTGTCTTAGGACAACTAAAGGCAGGAAATATTGTAATAAAATCCATGAAAAGTGTTAATAAAAGGTCTTTCCCAAATAATAATTTTTAAAGCTATACCAGTGCCTTGAAATCAAGTATTTGACAGTAAAAAAAAAAGATAATTTATATTTATTTTTATTGAATCATGTTATTTTCTTTAAAATCCTAAGGATTTTAATTTATCTTCTAATGATTTTTACTACTTTATGTTTAATGAGATCCTTAGCATGATGGATATGATATAGCTTAGCCATATGCAAAGACATCTGAGAGAAAACATTCCAAATACGGCATATTTTTGGTGCAATGAAAACTTTTTTTAGTCAAAATGAACATAAATCTAAGCCTCAAAGACAATAATGCAAGTCTGGAAATTTGCACCTATATGTTGTTGTAGTAAAACCCAAAAATCTTTGCAGGTAAAAACAAAACACCACAAGGCTTGTCCTGGGTTTAGCATAAGGTTTAAGTACAAGATGCAGGTTCATTCACCGGCATACCCAGTTCCTATGAGTAGTCAGCTTTACGTCACTGCCAGTAAAATTAGAAGTGAGTAATTAATTTCAGCAGAACTTTAGTTAAACGCAAAAGAAATGGGAATTTTAGCCACATGGCACCTCACTGTGCGTGTAAGCGTTCAGATGTGATCACGTGTGGTTCACAAGCGGAAGGGCTCACCTTCAAAAATGCACCTGTCTGTCACTGTCAAACGTACGTTTTTCCTCCCTTCCTGCCCAAGCAGTTACACTTCACAAAGGCAAAAGGCACTGGAGGAAATTCAGCCTATAGGAGAAGCCATTCTTGCTTCAAGTATAGCCCCTGTTTACACAGAAAAGCTCCAGCTCTGGAATGATTTCAAGTGCAGAGATGGCACTCGGCTGGCCAAGAGCTAAAGCGGCAGTGATACGCTCTGCCCTGCCTCCTGAACATCTTATAAACTCGGTCGCAGCGCCTGGAAAACTTCCTGAGCAAAACAAATGACGATGGAAAATGGAGCAGACGTTGGGCGATCCTCAACACCACCAGCAGCTCGCTCTCCGCCTGCCTCCAAACGAATGGTTAATGCTATGCTCTTCAGGGTTAATTGATTTTCAAGTATAAACACAGCCGAGTCAGTCTGGCAAACCTACCAACAACCCCCCCAAATATCACCTGCCTATTCTCCCCTGTAATATTTTCATGCTGTGAGTTAAATTGTTGTTGGGGTCCATAAACTTCAGATTTACAGAAGCTTGAAAAGGCAGGCATCTTCCAATCTTAGTATTTTATGAGCATATAATAGGAACAGGTAAAAACAAATAGGTGAAAAATAATTAATTGAACTGCCAGTGGTTTATTCTGACAGTTCCTTTATCTTTACATTCCATATTCAAACAGTTTCAAATTTAGGGGAAAAAAACTCCCCACTTTACCCAACAGAATATTTCTTCCTACAGCAAATGAAGCATTTGGGGCAGCAATTTCACTGGATGTGGTTGGACACAGGTGTTCAAAAACACGGCACGGGATTTGCAAAGGTGTTAAAGGACCCCAGTCCTGGCTCACCCTAGTAGCAATGGCCTGCTACGGGCTCTTGCTCTAGAAAAAAAGTATCTGGTTATACCCTGCTTTTTGCCAGCTTAAACGCTCTTTAAGCTTCCCCCGTGCACTGAAGGCTGATTTTTTTTTTTTCTCTCCTTAGGGAGTCGCCCTGTTTATGTGATGGATGTTTGGGAAGCCCAAGCTGCTGGGGAGAGACCTCTTCCTGAAGAAAAAGCTTTCCTGACACAGACTGCGGGAAGCCGTATCCCCGGAAAGTGAGTCCCGGCTTCGGTCACTAACAGCTTCACGGATGCAGCAGAAGGAATACTTACATGGTGCTGTCGCCAAGCTCTTCATAGAGGTTATTGGCAGCGGTGCTCGCTGGTTTGCCTGCTGGCAAAGCCATCTGGATTCTCGCAGTCTTTGCGCATTCGGCCTGTCGCCTTTGGTGAGCCACGGGGAGAAGGAGAAACGCTCGTTAGAAACACTCTATACCCCAACATAAACCCAGTTCTCTATGGTTTTCGCCTGCGTTTTGCCTTCTTCAAAGACAAGTAATAACATGATAATCCTTTCCTGGCTTTTCCAGCTCTCCATTGTTTGTTCTCTCTCTGTAGAATCCCAGAAACCTCCTAACCCATGTCACGCCCCTGACACAGCAGGTATTTCCCAGGAAATAACGTACGTGCTAGCTTCAGCACTGCTCTTGTTAGGAGGTTTGTCTGTCCTGGCTAGCCAAGGCTAACGTGGGAGAGAGTAAGCACTTTGGTCAAGTGCTTCATCCAACTGCCAAGAAACTGTAATTTTAAATGCAAAGGAAACGTTCCTGGCAAAATTTAAGTTATCGCAACCCCTTTCTTGTTAGGGTTGGCTGGGAAATTTCTGTTGCGCTGCACAGAAAAATTACTTTCACTATGAAACAAATGTCCATTTTCTATCTAGAACCAAAGGCTACACGTTACAAACACGCGTGTCACCCGGGGAGCACCAAGGAGGTGACGTGGTCTGCCCCGCTTTGGTTCGGAGGGTGGTCGGAACTGGGTCTTTCCTAGGGAAGTCTCTCGAGGCACACTAGCCTGACAGGCTTGCTTAGGAAACACCGGCAACGCCCTGAACCACAGCATCTTTAAGGCGTGCTAGCATGCAATAAAATACTCCAAGTAGCCATGCACGTAACTTGTAACCTCGCCGTACACCCGGTTTGGGAGCACGTTGGAGAAAAGGAAGTTAAACCCTTACTCAATGTCAAGTACCCTTCCTTCTTGAACACAAAGAGGGGTAGGCTGTCAGTATTCCTACACAAGTCGTTAGAAACAAAACTGAAAACAAGTACTTACTCTTTGAATCTGTTTTGTTATGCAAAAAAGATAAAGAGATAAAATGGAAGGTTAAAGGAATTCAGTTCACATTGCTTTTAACAGTGAACCTACTAGGAGAAATAAACTAGAAGCTAATTAATCATTCTACACATAAAATTACAGAATTAATGACAGGTTTAAAGAATCATAATTTCCAGAGCTGAGCAGTGTTTACTTGCTATTTGTGAGACTGCTAAAACAAATTTGCAGTCAGCATAAACGTGAATTACAGTGGGAAAAACTGCTTTGCGCTCACAGAACACAACTCCCTGCCACCCCCACCCCCTGAAAGAGTAAGACATGAAAAGAGGAATATACCTCATGGTATTTTCACAACTCCCTGCCACCCCCACCCCCCCCTGAAATAGTAAGACATGAAAACAGGAATATACCTCATGGTATTTCTTTAACAGGCGGACTACTAGGGATGCATTTTTATAGCACTTTTCTCATTTTAACATGTTTCAAGAATGCCATAGAAAACATCTTCAGGAGTGAAGGTATATTATTTTTGGTTGCTCTTCAGAAGATACTGGTCTTTTTTTATCATTAAATAATACATTATTCATAGCTACCTTATGCAGCTGTACTGGACAGTGTATTGCAACAACACTGCTTAATAGAAAAGAATGGTAGCTTCTGCCTTGTTTACAAGCCATAATGGAGGCACTGAGCTGCACTTTGACAGTGATAATTTTATATATTAAATGAGTTTTCAGTAGCTATTATTTTTACCAAATTTACTAAGCTGATCACTGATCCTGAAAGCACTGAAAAATGGACCTGCTGCACACAGGAAGTTTTAACAGTGAGAAAACCCTACCGTTTCCATTCCGTGTGACCATTTATCCTGCCATAATTGCTACACTCAGTGGCAGACTGGAGCACCTGCCCTAGCCAAATGTTATCAGGAAAAACACCAAATCTCCCTTGGAAAAGGAGGAAAAAAGGCTGTAATGCAAAACAAACCGTAAGGATCAGCATGGGTTTTGGTGTTGATGTTAACACTAAAATTCCTTTTCTTTTCTTTGGCACTCTTCAGTGACACATTTTTCATAAAAGTATAGTTTATTCACATTGGTCTGCTGTACGTTCACCTCCAAGTCATGCTTCTGGACAACAAAAATATGATTTTTGGAGTTAGTCAGATTCCTTACAGCTCTTTTAAAAAGAGATTGTTAATCTTTTGATAAGTTCACAGATGTCAAGGAAAAATAGTGCGATTAGATTCCTTAAAGAAACAGGCAATTGAGATAACAACAACCACCGAACTGTAAGTTGAACTGGCTGAGTCGGGTTTCACTGGAAGCACGTGTTATACACAATAAAAAGCAGCATTGAGATGCACTGCCATCCCAGTGGTGCAGAAGTTAGTCAAGCTCTTTCAATTTAAGAAAATAAATGTACAGTAAATGCCTTGCAATGAAGGATAATTTTCAAAGGAGTCCTGCTAAGAAACTGTGCTGGTTTTGGCTGGGATAGAATTAATATTCTTCACAGTAGCTAGTATGAGGCTGCTGTTTGGATTTGAGCTGAGAAGAATGTTGATAACACACTAATGTTTTTAGTTGTTGCCAAGCAATGTTTACATTAAGCCAAGGAGTTCTGCCATTTCTTTTGCTCAATTGCTTTAAAAGGGCTTCTTCCTTTGACCCAAATTGTTTGGAGCAATTGGGATGTAAACATAGCCCAAGGAACATGCAGTGCACAGCAGGAAATGGCTACGCTTGGCTATTTTTCTGGTGTTCTCAGGGAAGCGTTTTCAGGCAGGCTGACGTTTTTTCACGTAGGGCAGGCTTTTTAAACACTGGCTGACGTAGTGCCTTGCTAACTCCTAACTGCAGCGCAGGAGGGAAAACTGCTCCGTTTAAATCTCACCTGGCGTGCGGCATCACATCTAGCGCAGCACTCCGACGAGAATTAATACACGTGCATCAACTCTCCCCTGCACTCTCCTCCCCCAGGCTGATGCAAGACTACAGCGAAGGGCAGCAGAGGGACTGACAATTCCTTGCCCTCAACACAATGGCTCAATCCTCAAGGAGCCAAAGCATTTTTCGTAGAAACAAAACAAGCCCACAAAACAATCCAGCAGGGCTCAGGGAACGCCTGCCTACACCCTCCTGTGGAGCAGAGGTTTTCCATGATGAGGGCGTATTACTTTCCAGCTGGTTCCCTAATTTTAAAATGAAGATAAAAAGATATGGAGGTATGGGCTGTTATCTACAGAAGTTAAATGTAGCCATTTACTGGGGAAGATACACAGAATTAGTTATATTTTGATTTTGTAATGGTTGGTAATTCTTTGAGTGCTCAGAGCATCATGTGGAATTAGAGACCTTTCATGAGAAGAAATCAAAGGATAAATATACAGCCCTTAAATCCAAATGCATTGATTTTATATATATGAGTGGACCTGAAAAGGCTTACTTGAGAGGAACTTGTTAGTGATGCTGATCCTTTAATTAGCCTGTTAGCCAAATTATTTAAAGCGCTTCAGCCTAGGAGAGGTGAGTGGAAATATCAAGAAGGTTTTCTGGTGTAGGCTGCTTCAGACAGCGCTAAAATGGCACAAAATCAATTCTTCATGAAACATTTGCAATTAAGCAGCATACAGCTAGGGGAAAATATAGCCGTGAGTATTTTAGGATCTAAACAAAAGAAGTTGAGTGCTCTTATTTTGCCTGAACTACACAATTTGATTTTTGATTAATTTATTGAAACAGAACCTACTTCCTCTTTTTTTTTTGTTTTTCTTTTGGCATGGAACTTTGCTCTGATTCTACACGTGCATTTCAAACATTTGTCTTTTGATCTGGTGTTTTAGCACATATTCTAAAACAGTTACTGCACTGCAGTTTTAGAATATATAGCAAGATGCACTTTCCATGCATCTTCTCTTTTCATGCACAACCCACATGAAGCATTGACCAACTCTTGTGGTGAGAGAGAAATTAAAAATATTTCCCTGTATAATAAATGCCTTGCAATGAAGGATAATTTTCAAAGGAGTTCTGCTAAGAAACTGTGCTGGTTTTGGCTGGGACAGAATTAATATTCTTCACAGTAGCTAGTATGAGGCTGCCGTTTGGATCTGAGCTGAGAAGAATGTTGATAACACACTAATGTTTTTAGTTGTTGCCAAGCAATGTTTACATTAAACCAAGGAGTTTTGCCATTTCTTCCCCTGCCTCTGCTTCCAGCTTTTTCTCTGCAAGAAGCTGGGAGTGGACACAGCCTGGACAGCTGACCCAAACTGACAAAAGGGACAGTTTATGCCATCAATCATCATGCTCAGCATATAAGCTAAGGGGAGTTGGCCAGGGGTATCACTACTGGGGTCTGGCCAGGTGTTGGATGGTGGGTGGTGAGCAGCTGTATAGGTTTTTTTTTCCTTTTTTTGTTGTTTTCATCTTCATTACATATCAACATCATTATTATTATTAGTCGTATTTTCCACTAGATATCACTATTACTAGTAGCACCATTATTTTATTTAATTAATTTTCAATTATGAAACTGTTCTTATCTCAACCCACAGGTTTTCTCACCTCTTTTCTTCGAATCTCTCCTCCATCCCACTGGGGAGGGGGGAAGTAAGCGAGCAGCTGCGTGGTGCTTAGGTGCTGCCTGAGGTTAAACCTACTACAACGTTGCTATCACAAAGAGGAGGAGGAGTACTTACTGTCTGTAGCTGACCATAACTATTAAAATAGCTGGCATGCAGCAAAGGATGATTATGACGGCCAGAGCAAGTAATGCGCCTTCCGTGTAGCCTACGGCTTGTGCCTGCTTCTTGACGTTGGCCACCACATCTGGGGTGCGGATCTCCAGGATGCGTCCCCCCTGCCCCAGGTACGGCTGAAACTCTTTATTGATGTCCAGCAGTTTGCCATCCAGGAACCTTCAGTGTCACAAAAGAGAACTATTACAGTGAAATTCATTAATGGCATTTGAATTACTGCAGAGTTGGGTTAATAACTGTGGCCTGATAAAGCATGTACCTCTTTTTTATGTGCTTAAGAATATTAGTAACTCCTCGTAATCTCTATGTCAGTGGTAACACCAACGTACTTCATACCAGCACACAGTTTACACACCGAAAAGGAAAGCTGAGCTGAAACTTATCCTAATTTCCAGGGGCAAAGTTCTCCATTCTATTGAGAGCAGCACAGCAAACGGCTTTCTTTGTGCTTTTTCCTTCAGTGGTCTGCTGCAGAGTAATAACTAACCCTCCTGCACATATCCCTGAAGACCACGCGGGCCTAAAGATCAACTTGATGCTGTTCTGAAAGTAGGTCATTTTTAGAGAACTTTTCTCAGCTTCTTAGGGAAATTCTTTGACTGGAGGGACAGCCTACAGTCTGTCCCCTTTTGACTTCCCTTTCAATATCAAAAAAAAGAGAGACTTGGAAAAACCATGCTTTTATTAATCCCCACCCCCGTTCCCCCAGCTGCATCAGTTCTGAACCTCATGCTCACATCTGCTCTGTCTAGTTAGCTTCCACATCTCTGTTTTCTTAGGTTGTAGTACTTGGTGCTACGTATTGAATTGTTGGAGTAAGACTTTCATCTTACAGCATGACTGATGCAGCAGGAAAACACAGAGGAACAAAGATCGGAGGAACTCCTCTCCAGTGGGAGCAGACATCAGAGGAGCTGAAGGAGGAGCTAAAATGTGCCCTCCCAACGCTTGGCACATTTTAGAAAATGCTACATAATTCGTCGTTGTTTCCTTAAAGTCAAATTGGAGGTCACAAAAGATGACAGAGATTACTGTAAACTTCCTTCTCCTCCTTTTTTGAGGAGATGAAGGCCATTCCTTCTGGAGTTTCATACCTCTTCTAAAAGGATAAGCACTAAATGCTTATAAAACTGTAATTTAAACTTCAGGCGTTCTCCAAATGCTGCCAGATACCAGACCCATCCTGACTAACCTTACTATTGACAGGAACAATAGGCTATCTATACAGCCATGAGAAAAACACTGCCTTTAGGTAGGCCTACAGAGCACGCTGTTATGACAGGTCCTAAGCAAAACCAGGGCATTAGCTAACCAGGAACCACGCACTGCTGTCACTGTTTTAGCCTATGATAATGTCCATCTTCTGTTTGTGCATCACCCAGGAGAGGAACTTGGAACAACAGAGTCACCAAGCAAAGGACTGGAAGAGTCTCTGGAAAAACGAATGTAGTGGAAGAAGTTCAGTATGTGAAGTGGTAATTGGCAGTTTAAAGACAGGCAGCCAAATGTAAATCCTAATCAAATAACCTCATTTCCCACAATGGGGAAAATTTTCCATTGCATGACTTCTTGATAGCAAACAGTGTGTTTGTTGAAGAAATTTACTTTAGAGTTTAAAAAATACTTTGGCCAAGGCTTTATTTGAAAAGAATATATTGGCCAAGGCTTCAACTTCCAAAGGAAAATCAAAATTCTTGGATCGCTTTAGAAGTGAGGATTGACTGTCTTACAAGCTGCCAAGTAGCAGGCTCCAGCTGTAAAGACCAGAGTAGGAAGCACCCATTAGGATGGAGGAGGTTCCTGCTGGCTCTTAGCTACGGCAGGACCCCAGACCCTTGCAAGTACAGTGGCTCTCCTGCAGAAAGTCAAGTGAAAAACACTGAGAACCCCCCAAAAACAACAGCTAAAACAATGTTCTGAAAGGATTTCTGCATATAAACTCTGAACAAGTAAAGAAAGTCTGAAATAGCTTTTGTTTTCTTAGTCTGATCATGAGACAGAAATTACACTCCTAAAAGACCATTTCTTAAAGGGTGTTAATTTTAAAAATCGATTTCCTCTCGAATTAATTTACTATTAGACCCTCATAGCACTGTTTGTTCCTGTTTTCTTGGGGACTCTGGGGAGAAGGCCCTCTGCTCTGTGTGTGTTACCCATTAGCTGGATCTCACAACATGCAGAGCAACTCGTCCCAGATGCCGGTTTCACGACACTAACCGTGCAGAAGAGTGGTGGCTGCTCACTCACAGACAGCCACTCTCACAAAAAGCAACCCAAGGCCTTTTTTCATAGAATCACAGAGTGGTTTGGGTTGGAAAGAACCTTAAAGAACATGGGCAGGGACCCCTTCCACTAGACCAGGTTGCTCCAAGCCTCATCCAGCCTGGCCTTGGACACTTCCAGGGATGGGGCATCCACAGCTTCTCTGGGCAACCTGTCCCAGTGCCTCCCCACCCTCTCCAGGAAGAATTTCTTCCTGATATCCAATCTAAACCTCCCCACTTTCAATTTAAACCCGTTCCCCCTTGTCCTGTCACTACAGGCCCTTGTAAAAAGTCCCCCCCGAGCTTCCTTGTTGGCCCCCTTTTGCAGAACAATTTCCCTCTGTATTACTATGCTCTGCAGGTAGGCACAAAGAATCCCTTGATTTCTTCTGCAAAGCATTTTCCTGGTATTTGAGCAAAAACCCCGTATCGCAGCTGCGAGACCTGCACGGACGGGTCACAGACACAAACCGAGCGGAGCTCTCATTCTTCCGTTGCACACTAGATGTCAGTGGTGCATGTCACACGCTCCTGTGAGCTGGCAAAGCACCCAAGGAGGACAGCATTAAATCTCTGGATGATTTTAACAATCTCCCAGTTAAAATTCTGTTAGCATTTTCTCGACAAAACCTATTTTAACAGGATCGTAACTCAACCGTGCACATTTACTCCGTGATGAAACATGACACATTGTGCAAAAGATTCAGAGAGGGTAAGCATTTTATTTTTAATGGTGGACATTTTCCACGTAATGTATGCAGGAGAAATTTTCTGGATTCAACTGCTTTTTATGCTCCAATAACTCAAACCCTCTTTCATATAAAAGACAAAAAAGGAGGCTGATCATTTCAGTCTGTAAAATTATCTAAGTGGCCTCAAAGTCTTTTACGAGTTTGTGGTAGAGGGAGGAAATAGCAAAGCACGGTTACTATTCAGACCCATTCTTTGGTGCAACCAGACAGATTCCTGATTAATAAAAACGTCAGGAAATCAGTCATAGCTGTCTTAAGGAGAAGTATGAATCTCCCGTTGTGTATCAGTCTTACAAAGTACAGAGCAGGGAAAAACCAGCGTGTCTTGCGAGACAGATGGGTTTTCCCCAGCCGGCAGTGACGAGCACAGCACGGCTGTTACGTCCATGACTTCTAAATCATGCCTCTGTTTTCCAGCCAAACGTTTTGCTTGAATGCAAATCCGTGGGACTGGACCACCCGCTTGGGACTTGTGGGTGTGAGGCAGCCCATTGGAAATAGCCTGGGAGCGAGAATGGCACAGCCTGTGCACGCGCTGTCGTCGTGCCCGTCGGCATTAATCCAGCAGATCCAGAGCACACTGCATTTCCTTGCATCTCTTCCTTTCATCGATGCCTGTCGGACATGACCTGATGCCTTGGAGCCACGTTTCCCAGAGGTGACTTTGGGAGCCTCAAACATTGGCTTTGGTTCAGCGGGGTTTACTTCTCGCAGGAGCGCAGCCCTCTAGCCTGTCGCAACTGAGACGTTGCTCAGCTGCTGGCAGGCATTAGCTGTCTTGCCTAGCCTTTCCTCACGGCTCCAGTGTAAAGCCAAGCACCTTTGGGAGCCCAACACCACTAGCACCAACCAGGACAAGTTGCAGATTCGTCTGTACTCCAGCAGCATTCCACCTGGGAAGGGGAACAGGTCACCCTGCTCCACTCTGTCCTCAGCTTACCCCCACATTCCTTAAAAGGTCTTTGCAGATAATTGTTTTCAGTGACAGGTTTAACATAAATTCTGTTAAAATCAGGGCCTCTGCTATGTTTTATAAGCAGAAACACAGCAGGGTGTTCCCAAAAAGCCCATTTAAGAAAAGCTACAGGTATCTTCCAAGAAACAACAGCTTTGTAAATGGTGTTAAAGTCACAAATGGCAAAATCCCCGTACTAAGTGCTGTTGGTACAGTTCTCTCTTCTATATACATCATGAAATATTTGAACACTTGGAAAATACCTTGGCTAAATTTATATTCCTTGTTGCCAAATAATGTTTTAAACCAGGGGGCACTCTCTCTTTCTGACCTTCTAAACTTTCTCTCATCTTACCCAATTTATTGAAATGATCCTTACACCTATCAATCTCCTTCCTGCTAGGGTCCAGGGCAGACTCCTGGCTGGCAGAAGGATGGTTGTGACTCTCAGCAATCTCTTCCCAATGACAAGGGCCATTGCTACTGTGTCCTGCGACATGTCCCTAAGCACCTCGTCCACACGTCTTTCAAATCCCACCAGAGACGGTGACTCCACCTCCTCCCTGGGAAGCCCATTCCAATGCCTGATAAACCTTTTGGTGAAGGAATTTTGCCTAATACCCAATCTCAATCTCTCCTGGAGGAATTTGAGGCCCTTTCCTTTTGTCCTGTTACTTGTCACTTGGGTGAAGAGATCAACCCCCACTGTGTGACCATGGAGATACCTACAAACAAAAAATTACCACCAGAAGGAAGGAGGCTGCATTATCACCTCTCTGAAAGCTGCCACTGCTAAACTGCATCTCATGTTTATATTCCTAGTTCAGAAAGTGATGCTGGAAGACTGGAGAAGGTTCAGGGGAAAACTGTAAGTGATTAAAAGAATTAAAATATGGCCCAGAGTGCAGAGCTCAAGGAACTTCTCAAGAAAAAAAGTTAATAGGATGATGTGATTGTAAGCCTAGACCTCGCTGGGAACCAAACATTAAAAGCACCAATGGGATGCTTCAGTCTAGCACCCACAGTTATAAGAAACATCTAAAACTAAACCTAGAAAAATTAAAACAAAAAGAGAAAAGGCCTGATTTCTGACAGTAAAAATAATTTCCCTGCAATAACACCACAAATGTTGTAGCTGATTGGATTTTCTTGAGCAGTTGCTTTGCTGAGAGACACTCTCAAAGCAGAATTAATTTTGGGAGTTCCTGTGGTCTTTATTATACTAGGTCAGACTGATCACAGTGATCTTTTCCAACCTATAAACTCCTGATGTATGCAGAGCTTTAGTATGCCATCATTCATCTGTACTAAATTAAGAGCTTGGGAGAACAAGCCTTTTTCAATCACAGTCCACTGAGATGGCTCACAGCCATTTGGTTTTTAGGCTGCTGACTGACATGCTGCTTTATACCACCATGGAACAGTCTAGTCTGGTTTTTACCAAGACAAAGAGCAAACACAAAGGTGAAACACACGCAAGAAAACCCAAACGACAGCGGCTGCTTTTGAAAAAAAGGAGGCTGTTTGCATTCTCATTGTTTTGAATTAGAGGCAGAATGCTGAAACACAAAAATAGAGTCTCTAACAGAATGACTCTACAGCCATACCGGTACATTGGCAGCTGAATGGGTTGAGACACTAATTTTGTCTTAGAACCTACTTGCTGCTAGTGATGACTCAGAAAAACCATGTAAAGAGATTAACCTTCATTTCATTTCCTTACCCATGTAATCTCTGGCTTCTCTTCTTACGCAGGCAGAGATCGGAGTTACCACTGGCCCCCCGAGCAGCAGCGTGCCCGGGTGACAACCCACCGGAGCTGTGCCACGGCAGAGTGGCACCCCATGAAACCGCCCTGCTGCAGTGACCGGAGCTGGCAACACGCTGTGAGTATACTCAGCCAATAAACAGACACCTCTTAGCTTTTATGTGACGCTGGAATTTAAATGCTAATTTGGAAGCTGATTGAAAAGGCAAACCAACATCAAATTATGAAGGTAACTGGCCTGTCTTGCAGTTCACCACCTCCTCTGGCAGCTGGTGGGATGGGCCCATGCAGATCTGTCTGCTCAGCCCACCTGGGCGTCTGTGAGCACTACCGACTGCCTGCACGTAGAGGTAGACCTGCGTCATACCCTGATGTCTATGCTTCAGATTAGGTGCACACCACCTCTCTTCATTCCCCTTCTTCTCCTTTGGTTTCCACAAAAAAGACAAAAGAGAGATATGCTCCCAATGGAACCTACAGAAATCCTGAAGGTCAACATCTGGAGCACCAAAGCCATTGCCTGGAGATCACAGAGAAGTTTTGGTACACAGAAAGTAAATTCCTTCAGAGAAACGTAAACGGGAAGCTCCTCCACCGGGCGGGCCAAACGTACTGCAAGCTCTCGTGGCGACGTTGTCTAAATCACACGTACTGAGGCCATTCAGCTCAAAGGAATGGACTGAATCTAATAAAACTGTAAACTCCCAAGCTGCCGGCAGGGTGGTAATCTTCAACAGATTTGTTTGTTCCTGTTGTCTTGAACCACTTTCTAACAGAGACAAAACCCGAAACAGTCCATAGAAATATAGAAGAATAACAGATAATACACTTACTTAAAAAGTTCATTCCTCATTATAGCTCTATTTGTTTGCGGGTCAATTGCGTAGACCATGAGGTCAGACTTGGTGTAATCCTCTTCAGAGTACCCATCCCCGAATCTCCGAGCACCAATGGATTCCACCACGACCGTTGCACCGGGAATCTGATCTTGGACATAGCGTTCCAAAATCCTAAAGGTGAGATGGAGCCAGAAAGCTGCAGTCATTTATTTGTGCTGATCAAGACTGACAACAGCCCAAACGAGATACTGATGGACAAAACCCACAGGCTTAGAAGGATGGTAACCTTCAGAGCACTTTTTAAAAATCTCTGCCCCAGTATAACCCCTTAAACACTCAACTCTTGGGAAAATCCTAGCAGCGTTAGGAGAGGTCACCAGAAATCTCATCCTGAAGTCTAGCCCTTTGTATTTATGACATCAATTGAGTTTTAAATGGCTCATGGGAAACACCATCTATATTTCACAAAAAAGCCCGTCATCCTTTTATTAAGCTGTATGATTTCAGAACTCTTCAATTCCAGCCTTACACAGGGTGCATACAATAAATTTTCACCCGCAGAAACAACTGCTTCAGCCATTTTCAGTGGGATATTTCATCTGGCTCTCTGATATAGCACAACATATCAGGTGCCAGAACACCTGCTACTCCAAAAGGCAGGAGCAAGTTTTACAGCCGTAAGAAAGTTGGAATATCGAGCTGACACATAAAAAATAAAATAAATTGCCGAAGTTCTACAAGCAGAAGAAAGACAGGTTGATAGAATTCAGCAGCAGCTATGCCCAAGACAACAAGGGCGTAACAACAATAAACCAAACCAAATCAGTTCCTTTTACAAAGAGAAGGATTCATTGCAAGCTACCAGAGCACAGAACAGCACCCCGTGGATACGTACATGAACTGCAGTGTGCCGACACATGAGATGCAATTCTGGGGAATTAAAATTTATTAGAGAAGACGACATTTACTGGTTATTTTATTAATTCTTGTCATGTGACCAATTTTATTTACTGCTGAATAGTTGTTCCTTTTTTTTTTTTAATTTTTTTTTTTGACAACTGACTGTCCACAGACATCTTAGTGTGTGCTTTTGAAAGCCTTTCCTCTAAATTCAAAACCTCCTATTTTTCGACAGTTTTCCCTGCAGAACCTTTTATGTGAGAAATCCTAACGTGTTATTCCTAAGCATTCGAAAAAGCCGTTTGCAGAATATTCCTCCAAACCAAACAAAAGAATACTCGTGCCTATGCCAGGTCGAAACCCCTTCAGCATGCCTGCAGAAACACCAAGCCGACGGGAAAGGGCCTCGCTGAGCACCTGAGAAGTTTCTCCACAGATAGCAAGCACAGTCTTACCTCACATATGGTTTATGGAAAGTTATGAATGTAACTCACTATTGCTTTAACAAACTTCTTCAGAAAGGACATTACCTTAAATATAGTTATTAAAAAAATATGTTCTCTCCCCTCCTCTTTGTGTGGTCTGCTACATGAAATCTGCTGAGTTCCTGTAGCAGGCTGCTGCTCTCCATCTGCCACATCCTGCGTCCAGTGTAAAAAGGAGGTTTGAGAAGTGTTACAGCTCAGCTGGATGACCTTCAAATCCTGTAGGCAACAGGGAGATGGGGTACTCCCTTCGAGACCGCAGCTGGGGCGGGCAGCCAAGACGGCAGGGACCACGACTCCCGCAAGGACGGATGGAGCCAGAAGGAAAATGGAAAGCTGTTCAGACACTGCCCTTGAAAGAGCTTTAACCCTGGCCGGTGGGCAAGGACAGAATACATCTCAGTGAAAATGGGAAGTCACAGGCTTGCTAACGGCGTGACGAGGTTTCCAAACTAAGACTGAGAAAGGCTCTGTTAAAGCCCACGGAGAGTTTTATAAACAAAGGCATAAAAGCAAGTATCATCAATACTGGCCAAAAGGGCAAAGAAGTATGGAGAAATAAACAGGAGAAGCTGGAAGTCTAAACGCTCCATTGGAACTATGAGTTACGGGGATGACGTGGTTTAGCCTTACCTGGCAATGAAGTACCACCAGTCGCTCTACCACTCCCCCCTCTCTCATGGAAAAGGGTCGGAGGAAAAAGACAACAAGGGAAGCTCGTAAAATTTGGGATAAGAACTATTTAATTATATAAATGAAACTTAGAGTGCTACTAACACTACTACTGCTAATAAGTGATTAAAACAACGAGAAAGAGAACATATGTGCCTTGCAGACTGACCACTGAGCTGGACGTATCATGGAAGGAAACAAGATCCTGTGGGCTGGCCATCTCTCTGCAGGACAGCAGCTCGTCCCTGCCTGAAAGGAGCACAGGGGAAATAACAAAGTTTTTCTGGGCTAACTAATGCGATCAGAATATCAAATCAAAAACCAGTGGCTGAGTTAGGAGGCAAAAGCAAGGAACGAGAGGGAACATGCTGCCCGATATATAGAATCATAGAATCACT